ACGGTGGTGACTTCTTACTACCGATCTCAAACCTTTTCTTGGATCAAAGCTACATAATTGGAGATTAATTAAAGGGGAAAACACTTCTCTTTTCGTATAAGAAGTGCAGAGACATGGAGTTATAAACCCCTTAATTAAATTGGTGAATGTTGTAGTTTCCTAGTTAAGTAGTGCATCAAGTGTAAGGCAAATAAAGCAAGAAAGAGATAGAGCTCGTTTGTTTGTGTTTCTCAAAAAAGTAATTTTTATCTCTTCCTTATTTTAGAAATGTTTTTTTATAAAAGTTAAAAGTATTTATAATTTTATAAAAATACTTAGTTTTTGAAAAAAATATTTGACTTTTGACTTCTGATTTTCTTGAAAGTTAAAATTTTTAGCTTCGGAAAAAGTAGGTTTTTAACTTTTTTGTGACTTATGTTTTTTTTAAAAGCAGACATCCAAACGAACTAAAAATAAAAATGGAAAAGTTCACCAATGCCCCTGTGATTTGCTTCAGAATTATTTATGCCCCTGTAATTTTTTTTCTATCACATATGCCCCTGTGCTTTGTAAAAAATAAGAAACCACAGGAGTATATGTAATAAAAAAACATACCCTTTTACAAACCAGAGCATATGTGATAAGAAAAAAACCACAGGGTATAATGATTCTAAAGTAAACCACAAAAATATTGATAAACTTTTCAAAATAAAAAGTGATTTTTTTCTTGAAAAAAAAGCTTTTGACAAAAAAAAGCTCATGGACCCAGAGAAATGCAAAAAGGTAACACGAAAGAATTGAGCGGCAGAGAGACAGTACAAAGTCTACAACCGCGTAAATTGAACAGAGGATAACCCACCTCACCGTGATCTCATTCTCACGTCATTAAATCCTAATTTCAATCTCCAATTTTGCTATTTTTTTTTTTTTGAAAAATTCTTATATTCTTTATGAGAGGTAATTTTCTTTTTGAGCCAAAAATATTCAAATTATGGTAGCGCTAGCCGCTTGCTCTTCCAAAAGAATTTTTTTACCTTCACAAAAATATTCACATCCCCTTTAATTCTAGTTTTGTTTTCGTATAACATGAATATAATTCTATAAAAAATAAATTTATTACGAGAACAAGAAAATAAAATTAAAATGATTTACGTCTTACTTTAATAAAACAAAATTTTAAAACACATTATATTTTGCCATACTACGTATCTTAATAAATTTATTTAACTTCATTTGAGTTAGAACTAAAAATTACTTCTTCATTTTTCTGCAAACTCTAAAAGAAAACGAAAAGTACTTATGAGATGAATATTTTTTATATTTTAGGAGATGTAATTTATTTATTATAAATTTGTTATCGGCTGGTTACCATAAACCCACATGGCTGATTAATACTCACGACTCGAAACTAGCATAGCAACCAAAAATACTTACGAATTAATATTTCTCAAGTTTTATAAGATAGAATTATTTTTCACATTACATACACATAAAGTGTATAAGGTTTATATATTATATAAGGTCATATAAAAAAATATTGATCTCACATATTTTTATATGTATATAAGAAATAAAATTATCTCTTTTCACATAAAAAAAAATACGATGTTTATATAGAGTAATAATATAAACAATTCAACAATTGTTAAAATTTAATCTAATACTTTTTTTTAATTTAATGCCATTAATATTTATGTGGTGTTACATATATTATATTTTTATAAAAGTAATATAATATTCTCAAAATATACAACAGTTTCTTCTGTTCAAGTGTATCAAAACCGAGCTTGATAAAAAAAGACAGTTGATGTAAATGAATAAGGGTTTGTTTCAAATCTATTTTGAAAAATAATTTTTTGATTTTCAGAATAAAAAAATTAAAAAAAACCTATTTGATAAAATCTGTTTTGTAAGAAAAAATTAAAAATTGTAACTATTTTTTTTATTTTTAAAATCAAATTTAGAGAATATATCTGAGTTGTTTTCATTTTGTATTTTAACTTTTAATTTTCAAATCAAAAAAAATAAAAAAAAATTCTTATTTCATTAACTATTCTACAAAATAGTTTTGAGAAGAAAAAAATAAAAAAAAATACAATCAAACATACCCTTAATTCTCTTGTCGTTTTGGCTGTCACTTTCCGTCTTATTGTTCTAATAAAAACATTTGTTCCTAGATTACCAAAAAAAAAAAACATTTGTTCCTGAAATTTTTGTAATAACTTCATGGTTGTCTTGCTTTATATTTGATTTTATTTCTCGTCCATGTATCAAACAATGTTATATTTTGATGACGAGGCATATCAACTTCTCCAAAGATTCAACCCCCCCCCCCACAAACAAAGAAAAGAAAATAACGTTAGAATTTAACAAATAAATTTAATATTATTTATCAACAAAAATAAACACCTTTCTCATATATATATATATATATATTCTTTTAAAGAATATAAACTTAGATTCTTTTAAGAGAAAGATAAACACAAAGAGATGAAATTCACATCTTTTTTTTTCGTCTTTTTTCCCCCACATCTCTTTGTGTCTATTTTTCTCTTAAAAGACCTAAATTTATGTCCTTTAAAAGGACACATACTTTTTCATATATATATATATATATATATATATGAGGAAAGTTACACTTACTACCTATTTTCATTTACAAACCCTTACAATCATATCTTAACCGTTGATTTCCGTCAATCAACGGTTATTATTTTCACAAATCAAACTCATTAATTAAATATCAATTCGCAATAAATGATAACCGTTGATTGACGGAAATCAACAGTCAAAATATGATTGTAAGAAGTTGTAAACGAAAATAGGTTGTAAATATAACTTTTTGCTATATATATATATAAATATATATATGAGATTTACATTTCTGCAACTGCTGTACGTGCAGCAATCAAATACTTGCCATATATATACCTGAAAACATTAAATGTGGGGAATCATAACCATACACATGTCGTTGCTGTACGTAAAGCGGCTGCAGAAATGATTTTACTTTTATATATATATATATATATATATATATATATATATATATATATATATATATATATACTTATGGATTTATTGTTTCTCAAGTCACCTCAGATAACCTTATCTCCGTCCACCTCAAAATTATGTCATTTTGGGTTTTAGAAGAATTAATGAATGATGTTTTGGTAAAATTTCATATAATAGATAAACAAACAAAAATACCAAAACAGAAATATTTTTTTTTCTCTCTCTTCAGCTTTACGTACAGCAACAAGTGTATGGTTATGATTCTCCACATTTAATGCTTTCACGTATATATATGACAAGTATTTGATTGTTGCATGTACAGTAGCTCTGTAAACCCATATATATATATAGAGAAGGAGGCAGGATCCTTTGACACCAGTGTCAAATTTGAAATTTGACACCTCATCTGAGAGCCATTAGATCAAAAAAGATCAATGACTCTGATTTGTAAGCATGTGATACCATTGATCTTTTTTTATCTAACGGCTCTCAGATTAGGTGTCAAAGGATCCTACCTCATAATATATAGGATTAATGAATCTTATGTAGTAAAAGATAATTTTATCTCCTACACACATAAAAGTATGTGGGGCTCATGTTTTTTTTTCTCTTCTCTTTACATGGCCCCACACACTTTTATGTCTGTGTAGGTTATAAATTATCTCCCATAACATTAGAAACATTAATGGGTTTGTTTTTCTCATGTTACATGAGAAAACAAACCCTTTCTACACACACCATAAAAAGACGTGCCACTTATTTTTTTATTTTTTGTTTTTTTAAATAGGTGAGTCCCATACTTGATGTATCTATGACATGAGATTAGAATTCTCCTACAACATAAGATTTATTTTTTCCAAACATTAATCCCCTTATGTATAAGGTTTGTTGTTTTCCTTGTAAAGGACATAAAATTGTGTCCTCTTAAATAAGAGAAAGAGATACACAATAGAAATCATGAGAAAGAAAGTGAGTAACTTTTTTTAGTTTAAATTTTAAATAAAAATACTAGTTTTAACTAAAATAGTCATTCTTCAAAAGGACAAATATTTTCCATATATATATATATATATATATATATATATATATATATATATATATATATATATACATATATATATATATATTGGGATAAGTTATTCTACTTATCTTTTCACCCTCCTACCTTGCCTACCATTTTTCAACACCGTTAGATCATAATCTCAACTAACCTTTATCATTTTTCTCTTCTCTTTAGATTTTGATCTAACGGTGTTGGAAATTAATAGTCAAAATAGGAATAGAAAAAAAAGGTAGAATAACCTATTTAAAATAGATGATATATACATATATATATATATATATATATATATATATATATATATATATATATATATATATATGTATATCATTTATTTTAAATTCACACACCAAAAGATTACCAAAAAAAAAGGAAAACTACTCGTTGTTGTCCTTTGTTGAGATATATAGTCTCACATTGGTTGTATGTGCAACTAATGTGGAGTTTATAAGGCCTTGAGCACTCCCACCCTTAGAGCTAGCTTTTGGGGTGCTGTATCCCAATGTTCTTTACATGGTATCAGAGCCTCGCCGCCCTCCATTTTCTCTTGTGGACTTTCTTAGCACAGGTAGACTGGGCCTGTTGCATCTTTCACTCTTCAAGCCCAATGGGCTCCGGTGTGAGGGGGCGTGTTGAGATATATAGTCCCACATTGGTTGTATGTGCAACTAATGTGGAGTTTATAAGACCTTGGACACTCCCACTCTTAGAGCTAGTTTTTGAGATGGTGTATCCCAAGATTCTTAATACGTGTAATTCCCCTTATGGTGCAACAAGGTTTTTTCGAGGATGCTTCGCGGAACCTGCCTAGCTACAAATCAGAATTTTGCTACTAGCTCAAGGTTATTACCATATATGAATATACACTACGCTATATTTATAGTAGCCATCTGCATTCAGGTGTCCTTATTCTTCCTTTCCTGTCCTTTAAACCCTTTCTGTTTTTTTGAACTGCATCATCACCTTCACCTTCCATTACAAGATTGTCTGGTGCTATTTAGAAACAACAACAGCTCTAGGACAAAATTTACTTGGCTTTGGCTTCTAACTAGCATAACTCGTTGGACATACCCTGCTTCCAAAATCTACATGGAGCCTCAGCCTCTTCATACCAGCACTACTACTACTACTACTACAACACCACCAAGGTCCTCTGCTACCTGCTTTGTCCAGGGACTTAAATGGACAATCATTTCACTCTTTCTTTTTCTATCTGTCACCATCGCTATAGCTTGGCTTGTCCTGAACCCCCATGAACCTGGTTTTCGAGTTACCTCACTCTTTGTGTCCAACTTCAGTGTCTCTGATTCACAACTCAGAGGCAGGTACGAGGTGGAACTAAACATAACAAACCCAAACAAGAACATCCAAGTGACGGTTGAACGTTTCAACGTGTGGGCGTGTTATGGCTCGGTGGGGCTCTCAGGTGCTGCTCTGCTGCAACCCATTTACTTGGAGAATATGAGCAACAAGGATGTGAAGGTTAAGTTGGGGTTGAAGGACTCACCCACCAAGTTGGCGCATAAGGTGGTGTCTCAGGATATGGTTAAGGATTGGAACAAAGGGATAGTGAACTTTGACTTGAAAATGTTGGCTACAATTACATTCAAAGATGGAATGTGGCCAACCAGGGAAAAGTTGTTGGACATTTACTGTGGCGACTTGGATGTTGGATTCGTTCCCATAAAGAACACAGGCAAGCTCCTAGGTATCGGCAAGGACTGCCATGTTAGAAGTTAGAAGAAGGAGGAAGCACTTATTCCAATATTAGAGGACAGAAACAGTAACAGTTCGTGAAATGGAAGCATATGTTGTGTTGTTTTTTTTTTATTGTAAACTTGTATATTAGTTTGTTCCTTTCTTTTACTTCTATTTTTAAGATGTGGTCAATCTACCAATAAGAATTGATAACTGAGCTGTGTAATTGCCTCTCTCACCTTTAAGAATTTCTATATCCTTTGTGGAAATTATTGATAATAATTAATATGATCGACATAGCATTGATTTCTAATTGCTAATTGAAGTATGGTTTCTGTGTCATTTATTAGTGTCAACTTTATTCTGATCTTTGGTTTGCTCCATTACGTCATAATTGTAGTTGATCATCTAGGGAGAACATTAAATGTGTACATGTTAACTTTGCCTGGCCAGAGCATGTTCATACAAGTGAACGTAAATTGATGTCATTAATTTGTACATTTACTATTTACAAGTTACAACAGCAAAAAAGCACTGAAAGAATTACAAAAAAATGAGAGAAAAAACGATAAAGCCTGTTTGTTCTCTTAATTAAAGTGGCATTTGAAAAACTATGAACTATTAAAGCAATTCAAAATATCAAATACAATCAAACTTACAATGGAAAAGAAACCTCATTAACAGCGTCCCCCACTTTCGTCAATCATCAATCCTTTTAGACTCTTGGCTAACCAAATGGCTGTCTCCCTTGGGGAGACCTTATCTTTTCCAAAGGGCTTCAGAACAACTGAAAGTTCCTCCAATCTATTTTGCTGCAGCAAATCTGCAGACAATTCTAAGAGCCCTTCAAGTGCCTCAGCTCTCTGCCTGGAAGATTTAACATCCAAAGTTTCCTTTGCTGGTGTTTCCTCTTCGGCTGTAGGAGTGTTATATTTGGTATAGTCCATGGAATTGGACTTTGAAACTAGAGAATCAGGGTTTTTCACATCTTGTTTCTCAATACCAGGATGGTCAGAAATACTTGATTTCAAGCTCAAAGAGTCTGAGCAACTTGAAGATTTGAAGTTAGGAGGAGTGCTCACGTTTCTCATTTCTAAATCATCCCTTACAATGTTGATAAATTTACTAACATCTACATTTTGAACTCCCATCTCCACAGATTCCTTCACTGGCTGCTCATTCCCCACACGGTAACTGCTATGGCGTATAACATGGATGACATCATCGAAAGCTGGAGGAAAATGGCCAGCAGCTTGCCTCTCTGGTGCTGGATTATGTAAAACTGCTTCTTTCTCTTGCAAAACTTTCTGGCTTGAAATTTCAGTAGAGATAATCAGGGGAGCACTTTTAGTCACTGATGAAATTCTTTCCCTTGCCATGAATTTGTCATCACCGGTGGAGATGCACATGAGTTTTGGCTGGCTAGCTTGATCATGCCTATAATTTGCCGTGCTTAGCGTACTAACGTCTTCACAAACAGACTTTTCTCCAGAAATGGGAAGTGGATGTTTGAGAGACTTGGTTGAAATAATTTCGTTAGAAATATCTTGAAGGTCTTTGATTTCTTTTGCTACTTCAGCAGAGGGATCTACAGAACTATTATCGGAGGCAGCAGTTGTAGTTGTTTGATTTATGGGAAAACTATCATCAGAAGCAAACATTAACTTAGAATCTTGAACTGAGTGATCAAGAGTTAAACTGGGACTTACTTTCTCATTACTAGTAATTGTATTTTGAAAATTCGGTGTAACCACAGATCTTTCCCCAGACCATTTTTCAGACATATCAAAATGCAAATAGGTAGCAGGTGAACTGCTGTCTGGACGTGATTCCACATTTTCAGCCTGGTTTAAACTCTCATGATCAGAAAATATTGGTTCACTCAAGTCAATAAAAGTTGTTGCATAATCAGAAAGTTCAAATCCTTGAATAGAGACTGAAGATGAGACAGAATTGCTGCAGTCTGTTTGAATTCCTTTGGAACTACTTTCAAAAGCCTTTAAAGGCTCTCTACTAATCTCTCTAGAAACATGTGGTAGATGACGGTTGGCCAATTGATGATGGCTAAACTTAGGCTCCTGAGCCATTTTATTTAGTCTTAACTTTCCAATATCATTTGCTGCATTTGGTGCATCAAGCCTAGCCTGCCTCATACATCCTAGAAATGAAGGTGGCTTAAGTAAGCTTGGAGGAGTCTTTTGCCTTTGCTTGGCAGGAACTCCACCTCCTTCTACTTGTTTGATAGGACCAGAGGGTGCAGTCACATTAGGTCCAGGTTTAGTTTTTGGTGTAGATTCTATAATAGGTAACTGCATGTGTTAATATACCAGAAATAAATATCAGTGTTATGAGGAAATCTTTAAAAGTAACTAATAATACAGTATATATCATTTATAATGATAATGTTACTAATGTACCTGTTGCTTTGAAGGATGTGATCCCTGCATTCGTTTTGCAGAATCAGGGGTTGCTTTTGAAGGTGCAATAGTTGGCATCTCTAAATTAGTCTTCAAACCAGAAGCACCAAAATTAGTTTTGGGCAATTTGGACTGTTTCTCTGTATTGATACACCACATGCCTTTATGCAATTGCCTCTCATTGGAGAACTTGTTTCTCTAACTTTTCCATCTTTTAATGCCATAATTATATTCTTAATTGTTTTTGGTTTCTTAGATACAACATTAGAATGGTGCTCATTATGAGATGGTTTCATCACCTCTTCCTCATCTGTTTTGGCGTTGACATTGCTTACGCTGTTTCTTTCTTCACTAGGCAGGAGATGCTCAGAGCCATCATCGTCAATTGATGCCAGGTCTATCTCAGTGACTTTGTTATCACACTTTGACACTACTTTCACAATGTTTCTCTCATTTGAAATCAAACTATCTTTGTCACTACTTGAACTACTAGTGTTTTGGCTTTCTGCCATATTTTTTTTCGAGTCATGGACAGCCGAAATTGGCTTTTCAGGAGAACAGGCTGCTGGAGGAGAGAAAGATGAACGGTATTGATCAACATAAGGCTGCAAATAAGGGTGCTTTAAGATCTCAGATGCCTGTGAAAAATATGAATTGAAGTTGTTCAGGATAAGCAATGATAGGAAACCAGTTTCACATTGCAAATAAGGTTACTCTCAAGAGAGGCTTACTGTTGGACGATGCTCAGGATTTTTTCTCAGCATGCCCTTTATCAGTGTTTTCCTGTGTGTAAGAACCAACAATTTAAGATTTCTAGTACACATACATGCACAGAGGAAAATATGAATTGAACAAGAATGTTTAAAAAATAAAATAAAATCCATCCTCCGAACCTAGACAGATTTAAGTTTCTCCTTATGCCAAACAGTAGCCTTTTTGCTCCTTTCCATATGAATAGCAGCAACAGATAAACAATTTTGCATGCATTTTTTAAGTGTTCACTCATTAAGCTTATAAAGAATTTAACAGCATTCTTGAAAATAAACAAAAAATCGGAGTGGTATAACAAATGCAGTGTATAACAATGTCGTTAAGTGCACCCACACAACCAGGTGCATGCATACATCTTTCTGCCAAACAAACCAGACTTCACAAGGTAACCATGAGTAATCACTGACTTTCTGTTAATAGAATGATAATAAGCTTAGCAAAAGAAGATAGAAACTTACAAGGATGGGGAATAACAGGGAGGCAAAGGGCCAATAGAGGAACGGTTTATCTTGCTTATCAATCCTGCCATATCCTGAAACAAGATTTATCATGCTTCAACATTAACATCAACAACACCTTCATCACGCTTATCAAGAAAAAAATCATGATCAGATACCTACACATACATGAATATCTATACTATAGTGTAATGAATCACATGAAGCGACTGAAAATCACCCAGCAACCCCAATTAACAAAATTCTACAAATGTCAGAAAATTAAATGTTATGCAGCACCACTCCAGTAAAAAACATCAGTTAAGACTGGTTGCAAAACAAACTTAAATTTATTATCCCATCACAGATATCAGAATAACAACAAAATATATGTCACAATGAGGATTCTGGTAGGTCTTTGCAAAAACTGGAATTAATCTGGTCAGCAGTCTACTTCAATCAAACTTAGTTTTTATAGTTTTCTTCCTTCTAGACCATTTAGATAAACTGATGCATTGTCTTCTTAGCTGAACAAAATCATAAATTTGCTAATTTTGGTCCAGAAATGAGATATTACGTCCCGATCTAATTTAAGGATAACACATCAAAAGAATTCACTAAAGATTACAGCATCTCTACAGATACTTTAAAGAGGTAGGTTATACCTACAAGCTCTCTTTTTTCTTACAACCACTTCGTTAGTATTAGATCAAAATCAAATTAACGGCTCTCATTTGATATTATTTTGTAACCGTTGATTTTATTTTAACAAACTATAAAGAAAATTATTGATAAAATGTTGTAACTATAACCTTTCTCTACTTTAAAAAAAAAAAATTATAGCAACTCTCAACAGAAAATTTTCTGTTAGAATTTTATTTCTTCTGAACCAATAATGCCAATTGAGACCTTATCTTTTCTGTTGCACAAAACTGCAACTTTGATGCAGAAATGAGATATTACATTCACATATGACTTGAGGGATAATACATTAAAAGAATAACAAATGATTACAGCATATCTATAACTACTATAAAGTCAAAAATCAAAGGAAATCTTACAAATGCTTTAAAAGCAGGGCGATGAGCAGCCATCTCATATATACAACACCCTGAACAACAAAAATGTATTTTAGCTGCAGCAAAAACAAACTCTGCAAGTATCAGATATTCATCACACGAGACATATACCCAGTGACCAAATATCAGATTTGAATCCATAAGGAATATCTGCAAGCAGTTCAGGACACATGTAGTTGGGAGTTCCTACCACCTGTAAACAAATCAACAACATCAACATCAACATCAACAACACCTTTATCCCAAATTAATTGGGGTCGGTGGTAGATGAACCCACATGAAAGATACAAAACGGTTGAAAAAAAAAAAAAAAAAAAAAAAAACAAATAAAATAAAAATATAAAA